ATTTCATTGATGTGTAGTGAACCACAGTGAGGTGTTGTGAACGCAACCTCGGTAGTCCAGCAAAACTCCTCCCTTAGCTCCTCCCCCTGCCCAGGTGCACTATAAAAGGCCATAAAAGTTTAGCCTTTTGCTGGTCGTGTGCTGAAGGTGGTGAGCATTGTCGCCATTTTTTTTTTTATTTTAGTGTTTCCTGGTGATGTAAAGTCGTCCCCCCAACTAACATGTGCCTTTTTGTGTTTTAGGCTTACCTGTTCAGGTTTTCCTTTTCTTTAGTTTATTTATTAAGTTTGTTTACTTTGAAAATATATTTATATATATATAGAGAGAGAGAGAGATTGATAGGGTTAAACAAGGCTTCACCTCTCAAGGAACCCGTACGGGTCAACACGAAAGGAGATTATGGGTAAGCTGGTCCACCTGGCCTCCAGTTTTTCTCAGCTCGGCAACCGTCTGGACCAAGTCTCAACTCGGCTTTCTTCACTGGCGGTTCCTGTTCCATCTCCGGATCCACCTGTTCAGTCTCCTGCTCCAGCAGTTTTTGACCACCCTCTTCAGAGCAAGGAAGCCAGTAAGAGGCTTCTCTTTTTGTGTCAGGGATCTCTTTCTGTCGCAGCTTACTCCATAGACTTCCGCATTCTCGCAGCCAAGAGTGGGTGGGATGAAAGGGCCTTACAGGGGGTTTTTCTGCGTGGGCTTAGTGAGGAACTTAAAGATGAACTAGCTGCTCGGGATGAGACCTCCTCTTTAGTGGAACTAATTTCCTTGGCCATCCATCTAGATAACTGTCTCTGTGAGAGACGCAGGGAGAGAATAGAGAGATTTAGGGCCCCTCTCCTTCTGTCCAAGTCCCCTCGGCACCCTGGTTCCATGGAACTTAATCCACCTCAAGAGCCATCATCTTCCAGTGCATCTCTCCCGGCTGCTTCATCCTCCTTCAGCAAAGAGGAGCCCATGCAGTTGGGAAGAATGAGGCTCACTCCGGCTGAGCGTCAACGCCGCATCCTCCAGAGAATCTGCTTCTACTGTAGTCAAGCTGGTCATGTCCGCACTAACTGTCCCGAACAGCAAAAAGATTTGGCTCACCTGCCGCTAAGGGGACGCTGGTGAGCCATACTTCAGTTTGTCCATCCCCCTCCAATTGCATTCAGCTTAAGGGAGCTGTTTCCTGGTCTCAAATCAACATTCCTCTCCATGTCCTAGTGGACTCTGGTGCTGATGACAATTTCATTGACTCTGGCATTGTTAGTCAGTTCGACATTCCCTCAGAACCCCTTCCTGACCCCAAAGATGTTTTTGCCCTCGATGGTCGTCTCCTGGCCCGTGTAACTCTCCATACTGTCCCAGTGTCCCTGCTACTCTCGGGCAATCATCATGAAACGATCTCTTTTTATCTCATTCCCTCTCCATCTTCACCCTTAGTATTAGGACTCCCCTGGCTCAAGCTCCACAACCCACACATTGACTGTTCCACATTATCTATCACCAATTGGAGTTTATTTTGTCACTCCCACTGTCTGCGCTCAGCCATCCCCACCACCATTTCTGCAGGTGGTCAGGTCAGACCCTGCCAAGATTAAGGCAGTGGAGGAATGACCCACTCCCACCACTCGAAAGCAGTTACAAAGATTTCTGGGGTTTGCCAATTTTTACCGCAGGTTTATTTGTGATTACAGTAGAGTTGCTGCACCGCTAACCAAGTTAACCTCTGTTAAATCACCCTTTGTTTGGTCCCCTGCAGCCAAAGTCACTTTTGCCAAGATTAAGAGTATGTTCACTTCTGCTCCAACGTTGTGACATCCAGATCCTTCTGTCCAGTTTGTGGTGGAGGTCAGTGCCTCGGACTCTGGTGTTGGGGCAGTCCTGTCCCAACGATCCACTGCTGACCAGAAGCTGCACCCCTGTGCAATCTTCTCTCGCCGTCTTACACCTGCGGAGAGAAACTATGATGTGGGGAATCGTGAGTTGCTGGCAGTGGTGCTGGCCCTTCAGGAGTGGAGGCACTGGTTGGAGGGCTCTACTCGCCCTTTAGTTGTATGGACTGACCACAAGAACTTGTCTTACCTCCGTTCTGCCTGCAGGCTCAACTCCTGTCAGGCTCGGTGGATCATCCAGCCCCTGAGGGTGGTCCACCTAACTGACTGTTTGTGCCTGTCCGTTCCTCAGTGCTCCAGTGGGGACACGCCTCCAAGGTGGCATGCCACCCTGATTTTCATCGGACCCTGGCTTTGCTTCGTCAGCATTTCTGGTGGCCCTCCATGTCCGCTGATGTCAAGGAGTTTGTCTCTGCCTGCTCAGTCTGTGCCCGCAGTAAGGCTTCTCATCATGCTCCTGCTGGTCTCCTTCGCCCCCTTCCTATCCCCCACCGGCCCTGGTCTCACATTGCGGTAGACTTTGTCACTGGCCTACCACCTTCAGAAGGTAATAACACCATTTTAAGTGTTGTAGACTTTCCAAGTCGGTGCACTTTGTCCCTCTGTCTAAACTCCCCTCTGCCCTTGAGACTGCTTGTTTGCTCACCCAGCATGTTTTTAGGCTGCATGGTATCCCCCAGGACATTGAGTCAGACAGAGGCCCACAGTTCTCCTCCAGAGTGTGGCAGGCTTTTTGCCAGGCAGTGGGGGCGTCAGCCAGCCTTTCCTCTGGGTACCATCCCCAGACCAATGGCCAGACTGAGCGGGCAAATCAAGATCTGGAAGCAGCTCTTTGCTGCGTTGCCTCTCATCACCCTGTTTCCTGGTCTTCCCACCTTCCCTGGATTGAATCTGCTCACAACTTCCTGGTCTGCTCTGCCACAGGTATGTCTCTGTTTATGGCTGCTAATGGCTTTCAGCCCCCTCTCTTCCCTGCTCAGGAGGTTGAGGTGTCAGTTCCTTCAGTGCAGGTGCACCTCCGGCGTGCCCACCAGGTCTGGCGTGAAGCCCGGGCAGCTCTCACCCAAACAGCGGCCCGGAACCAGAGGTTGGCCGACCGTCACCGCTCCCCAGCTCCCCAGTATCAGCCCGGCCAGGAGGTCTGGCTCTCCTCCTGTGATCCTCCTCTCAAGACTGAGTCCCGAAAACTGACTCCCAGGTACATTGGCCCTTACACGAATGAATGCATCATCAACCCCAGGGTGGTGAGACTTAAGCTACCTCCCTCCCTCAATATCCACCCGTCTTCATGTTTCACTCCTCAAGCCTGTTTCCACCAGTCCTCTGTGCCCCCCAGCCAAACCCCCTCCACCCCCCCCAGATCAAAGACGACCACACTGCATTTACTGTCCGGCAGCTGTTGGATGTACGGAGGCGGGGTCGAGGTTTCCAATTCTTGGTGGATTGGGAGAAGTATGGGCCAGAGGAGCGCTCATGGGTTTCTCGCTCCAGTGTTTTGGACCCTGAACTTATTAAAGACCTTTATGACAGGTACCCAGACAAGCCTGGCAGGCCACCAGGAGGCATCCTTTGAGGGGGGGTACTGTTATGGTTTGGTTTATTATGCCTTTGTTGTTGTGCTTTTCTTTTGTCCTCTGTCTGTTCCCCCTCCCCTTTCTGTTTTCTTGCAGAGCTTGTTGTGTGGGGCAGGGGGTGTGGCTGGCTTCCTCCTGTTGGCACACCTGTTTTCACTCAGCCCATTCCCGTCACCTCATTAGCCCGGTCTCCACTCCTGCTCGCTGTCAGAACATTCCATGCTCCAACCCGGCATGCTGTTCACCTACTTTCCCGAGTCTAGTTTTGCCTGTGCAAGTCTGCTGAAGACATCCTCCTGCCAGCCAGCTCCCTGCCTCACCTGCCCGCTTCAGTTCCGGTTTTTGTTTTTGGACTTCTATTAAAATATCTTCAGTTCCCACTCACCAGAGAGTGTGTCTTTGCTTTGGGGTCCAAGTCACAAGTGAACTTAACACCTTCCCCCTAGACAGGGGCGTAACAACCAGTCATCATTATTGGAATGAAACCTAAATTTATTCATTGCAACTATATTTTGCTTAACTTTTGTGCACTAAGTTTCTAATTCGTCTTGCCATTTTCTTCACTTTTCAAGTGCCAAAGCAAAGGGGAAGGCAAGGAAATGGCACACAGCTCCTTTTTGATGACTGCATTGCAATGTAACTTGATAGCAGAAGTCAATGATTGGATGAACTAGCGATCAAGAATTTTGTAATCTCCCACCCCCCTTACTTACAAACTGTTATATCTGTCAATCTATCCCAAATGGACGCTATAGCCTGTTTCAATCTTTCACATTAGCGAAAAGTTATAACCAAAATATACCAGTTTTCCATAGAACCATATCATACACAACTAAAGACCCACATTAAATAATCAGCACTTATTCACACCTCTACAATGGTTGATTGATTAACTCATATCAGCACCAGGGAAATTGTCCAAGGATAAAGTTCATTTAGTCACTTAGTTTCCTTCAGAGTCAAAATAGGGGAATGGGTTGAATGAGTCAACTGGGGATTTCTGAACAGTGCGAGTCTGGTTGCAGATAGCCTACCACACTAGCAGGGTTGTGATGATTGAATCAGGGAAAATCAGAGTTCCAAGAAAAGGTGAATCCTGGTTCTTCGGTTTGATTAGCTTGCCATGTTTCCTCTTCCAATACTTGGCCAATTCAGTGCTCGACACTTTCATTTAACACCTTTCATATTTCATGGACGATGTCCACTGGATGGATTATCTGCAGCAGCTCCTCACTTTACAGTGTCCCCAGTCATTACTAATGCGCTACACCTGCTACCGGTGGCTAATGCCTCACTCTGATTGATAACATATACCCAGATTTTACTAACAGGATTACAAGTTCTGCTCTTAAATTTGCCAATTGGGGGCTTTTATTTCGAAAAGTTTTTGTGAGAAGTTTGGTTTTAATTAGTTATTAGGCCCCAATCAATTGTCTGCCTTACCTATGGTGTATGGTAAAATCATCAATGTTGCAGAGACCAGCCGGGGGCGAGCCGGCTGCCTCAGGAGAAAGTATGAATATACATTTGAGTGTGAAAAGGACATGACCAGTAGGGGGTAGTTGAGCTGGCTGCAATTTTCTTCCTCAAGAGAGAAGAGCTAAATCAGCTGTATGATTAAGAGGTTAAGTCATAAAGCTGCCAGAGCTCAGCAGCTTCTCTCATCCTTTTCCTCTGATAATGGAGACCCAGGAAGAAAGTGAACTCTGCTTTCCACAACTCAACAGCTCCTGCAGGAGGACAAAGCGCCCACACACTGAGGCTGTGCTTATTTACATTCTACTGTCCTCCATCTCTCTGCTCACTGCAACTCTAAACCTGCTGGTCATCATCTCTATCTCCCACTTCAAGTAGCAAAATATTTAATCAATTTATGAAAATGATGAAATTACTGGTTCAGAGAAAGACAATAGAAATGGTCAGATCTGGTCTATGTGTTGATGTATGATTTTAACTACTGTGTTGATATTTTACCTATAGATTATGTTATATTTGTTATATTTAATGTATATATATATATATATATAATAATATTATGGAATTGCAATTGATACTAGAAATAATAATATGTGATACATGATGCCCCTCTTTCAATCCAGGCAGCTCCACACCCCCACCAACCTCCTCCTCCTCTCCCTGGCAGTCTCTGATTTCTTCGTGGGCATCATCATGTCTTTTCAGATTCTCCTCACAGACGGCTGCTGGTTCCTCGGTGACCTCATTTGTTCTTTGTTTTTCATTTTAGACTTCATTGTGACCTCTGCCTCAGTAGGAACCATGGTGCTTATATCTGTTGACCGCTATGTGGCCATTTGTATCCCTCTGCATTACTCCACCAAAATCACTGTGAGAGGAGTAACAATCTGTGTTTGCCTTTGTTGGGTCTGCTCTATTCTGTACAACGGTCTCATAATGAACGATAATTTAAAACAACCAGGCAGACATAATTCCTGCTCTGGAGAGTGTGTGATTGTCATTAACCACATTGCAGGGGTCGCTGACCTTATTTTGACCTTTACTGGTCCTGTAACTGTCATCATAGTTCTGTACATCAGAGTATTTGGGGTGGCTGTGTCTCAGGCTCGTGCCATGAGGTCCCATATTGCAGCTGTCACTCTTCAGCGTTCAGAGACAGTAACTGCTAAAAAATCAGAGCTGAAAGCAGCCAGGACTCTTGGCGTTGTTGTAATTGTGTTTCTGACATGTCTTTGCCCATATTACTGTTCCTCTCTTGTAGGCCAGAATGCCATGTTTGGTGTTACATCTGTGCCCTTTGAGACCTGGTTATTCTATTTCAACTCTTGTCTAAACCCAGTGATCTATGCTTTTTGCTATCCCTGGTTTCTAAAATCTATTAAACTCATTGTAACATTTAAAATACTTCAGCCTGACTCTTGTCGGGCCAACATACTGTAGTTGGTGAGACAGACATGAAATGTTAAAATATGAATTAGAAATCGAAAAGTCTGCAACAATTTAAAATATGTCACTTGTGCTTCAAGTACATCTCACATGAAGTGTGATTACCAGTATGTGTGTATCTTCTCTTTATTCTGTTATTTGTTGTTATATACGGTAATCTCAATGTAATGTGCTACCTTTCCGTTGTCTGCCTTTGACTGGTCCCCTGTTAATGGAGCCTCTATAATAAAAATAAAATACTTACATACAACAAACTTGTTTAGATAACTCAAGAAATATTAATCATTTACATATATTATGTAAATAAAGGAAAACATTAGGTGAATAAAATAGCCACTTATTTACAGACAAAGAGCTGTTTGTGAGCCACAATGTGAATGGGTGTAACTGGAGACCCTCAAGAGGTCTTACAACATATCTAAAGCAAAGGTAGGCCCATTGTTCCCTTTGTGAACATAGGCCATTGACAGCACTCCTGGCCTAATGTATGGAGGACCAAAGCTGCCAAAATCAAAAATAGAATAAATTGCCCAATTAATAAATAAGAATGCCATTAAATGCACCAAATAGAACATAAAAAATGAATATAGACATTAATTAATCTATAAAATGTTACATAAATTGATATTTGAGTTTTTTGCTTCTGTATTCATTCAACTTTTTATTAATTCTCCTATCTATATATATATATATATATATATATATATATATATATATATATATATATATTTTTTTTTTTTTTTTTTTTTTAATTCATTTATAAATGTATTTTTAAATTATGTTTTAATTAATTATTTTATTATGATTTACGTAGGATTTCCTCCCATTTATTTATTTTCTGATATGTGATGCGATCTGGGAAAGCCCATCACATGGTGAAATTTTACCAACTCAAGACTCTGATACCACCTTAAAGCTGATTTCAAGCTCTTTTCAAATCTGTTTTCCTTTTTTTCATAGCATGTCTGTAACAAATGTTATTATTATCTGAAGTCAGCTTATTAACATGGTTTTATGAAACAGAATTTTGAGAAAAACAGGTTTAAAGATAGACATTCTAAATAGAACATTTTAACAATCAAATATCACATGTTAAATTTTCATTACTCTATTATGGCACAGACTTATTTTAGTCACTGTATATGTTGGAAAAAATTGTTACTGTGGCACCAAGCAAACACACAACACTCATGAATTAGATGAAAATCAAGAATGCATTTATTAATTCAACATTCAATTAATTGAATTTGTTTTACGTAACTTTTTCTCTTCTTTTTTTTAAGTTACTGCACATTATATATGTATTAGACAATGTCAGTATTATTCTGTTATTATGCAGTATATTATCAAATCATGCAGTATAAATATGCAGAAAATATAAAGAATATGCAGTATAAATACAGAAAATATCAGAAATATGCAGTATATATATATACAGAAAATATAAAAATATGCAGTATATCATGACTTATTGTAAATTATAATGGAAAAGTTGAGTAACAATATTCAATGTAATTATTGTTCTGCTATTATTCAGAATATCATCAAATCATGCAGTATAAATATCCAGAAAAATATAAAAAATATGCAGTATAATTATGCAGAAAATTTCTGAAATATGCAGTATATCATGACTTATTGTAAATTCAAATGGAAAAAGTGAGCAACAACACTAACTATAGATACAACCCCTGTATTCAAGACTATTATACAATGACTGTCCCCAGAATCACTGAATTAATCCTCATTCATGTTTACAGCCTGAGCTGAGCCTGTATGTACCCAAGAATGTGCTCCAGTCATACATAGGTACAAGAACAGTGCCATCCTCTCTACCACAAAGACATGGTACATTGACTCCAACTACTTGGGCAATGTCATCCAAGCAGTCAACCTTATTCCTCCTAAAATTTCTTTTAAAGAGCCCAAAGCACCAGTCACAGGAAAACTTTGTGTGTCCAGCAAGAAGGAAACTCATTTTGATTGACACATGACGACCTGTAAAGACACGCCACAACAGATACCACATCACAAAGGAGTTCTTGTTTTGTCCCGAACAGTTATCTGCATGAAGGTGCATGTGCATTTCACCCAGTCCATAATTCTCAAGGTATGAGTGTAAAAGGCTAATAACACAGTTGCTACCTTTACCAGTCTGTATGGATTCATCCAACAAGGAAGTAACCTGCTTTGGCAAGGCCTCACATGCTACACCAAAAACTCCACACTTACGTGGAGTTTTGAAATACATCGGCCCTGGTTGGAGGGGATCATTGGGGTAGTGAATCTGTTGTGCAAAGTCCATGCTATAATGTACCATTCCCTCATAACTAGAAGGACTGTGTGGACCTAACTCTAACCCAGCAGGCAAGTTTGCTTTTGAATCCTTACAAAGTTGCTGATAGTGTGTACGCTCTACTCTAGCTTTCTCCAGATGTTCAGTGGCCAGACGATGCAGCTCTTCCTTCTCTGAATCAGCCTTATTGGCAGCCTCACTAATGCGTTTTTGATATTTTTGACATGTCCAACACAGGTCAGTTGCTGGCCGCATTGTGACAACAAATGGCACCACTTCCCGCCAGATACGACGAAACGTAACTACAGAAACCACACGCTGATTTGCTGCAGCAACTGCCACACAGTAATCGGAGTACACCTTCACCTTCGTACAGTTAGTTGGAAGAAGTTTCAAATCACTCCTCCAAAAGCCTGGTACCCTCCCTGGAAGATGCTTGCCATGAGTTTCAGCATAGTTTACAATGAAATGTGCAACATACATATTGTCCTCTTTCTTCAGTGCATTAGGAGGCTGACGCTTTTTGTTGCCATGCATTCGAGGAGTAACACCATGCTCTTTATAATGCTTAATAAGAGCATCTAGCTTGACCTGGCCAATGGCATGGAGATATTTAAACTTATCCCTGCATATTTTCTCCCTATGGTGAAAGAAATCAGTTCTTTGGGACTTCCGAACTGTCTGTTCTTTTTTATGGGTGCGGGATGTTAGCTGAGAAAGATGCATTCCACATGAGAGTTTAGCTAGAATGGCGATATCTAGCTCTTCCCTTGTCATTTCCAGGAAACAGTAGCGAATCATCTGCAGCTCCTCTTGCATGAAACGTGTTGAACATGGATGACCATTGTTGTATTTGCATGCACATACAAACTCTTGCACATCATCACCATTATCTTCTTGAAGTGGAACTGGTGGTAGTATCTCTGCTACATCTTCAATAATGGATATGGGATGGTCATCATCTGAAATGAGGAAGAATGAATAACTGTAAGACATATGTATTATATAAAAAAGGCTGAACTTCATTATTACTAATAAGCAACATTAACAATCCATCACACAAGTATTTCACCATTGCAATATGTCTATGCCCATAAGACATAGGCTACTACTATAGTAGTACTACTATTATTACTCAAAATCATCATCATCATCATCATCATCATCATCATCATCATGATTAGATTATGTTGTTTGACAAGGTGCGACCAAAACGTTAACAATATGTTAAGGTGTAGCCTACTATTAAAAAAAATTAACATGTTACGTGCAGGCTTGTACAGCACGCTGACAAGAAGCAATCGGATCTGGCTCAATCCAACATCTCTCTCCCAAAGTAAGATTTATATGTCTTACGTTTAAATTGCAAAATATGTCACAGAGTGAAGAAACCGTCTTCACCATCTGTAATGCAATCTACTACAGCCTTGAATGTCACTAGCATGGAGCAATCATGAACAGGGGCGGACTGGGACAATAATTCAGGCCACCACCACCGGATTAACGCAAAACACCAAGAGTGAGTTAGGTTTGGCGCCTACTGATGTAAAAGTGTAAAATAATAGAGCAAAGGCTCCACATGTGCCCACACACAGCTTTATCTGTTTCTTTCCCCTACAAAATAAATGTTTCTGTTCACTAATTGATTATTTTTATATGCATTGGTTATGTTCATATGACAACAAATATGTTCTTAATCTCAGTGGGATTTTACCTGGTTAAATAAAGGTTAAATGAAATAATGTAATACAAGGATTTCAATATTCATATAATTTATTATGTTGTGCCTATGTTAGTTAACCATATTCTAGAATTTGCACTTACATTTGTTGTATTAAGTCAGTTTTAGCCCCATCAGCTTCCACAAAGTGGAACTAACCTCCTCATTAAGATAGTGGTGCTGGATAGGCCATAGTTGTGCCAAACTGGTCAGTTATTTTACAGCACTTCGCCGATCTGTGGCCAGTGCTTTTAGCTTTTTAAGCCTCTCTCTCTCTGCTCCACCTTTCCTCTTGGGCTGTCGATCTCACTCCATTTTTCAAGCATGTAGAACTACAGGGGGGGGGGGCGCAACTTGGTGTCACTGATCATGAACATCACCGAGTCTATTAACCTGACGTTAATGCTACAGTCTGCATCTCCAACATTAACATTAACGTTAAGTCTCCGTTTTAAACTCACATGTCAGCTGAACTTACATGCATAAACAGCATAACTAAGGGATGGTTCAGGACTCACCTGATCCAGCCCTAACTATAAGCTTTATCAAAGAGGAATGTCTTAAGCCTACTCTTGAATGTGGTGAGGGTGTCTGCCTCCAGAACCACAACTGGAAGCTGGTTCCACAGGAGAGGAGCTTGGTAACTGAAGGCTCTGGCTCCTGTTCTACTTTTAGAGACTATAGGAACCACAAGTAGCCCAGCATTCAGAGAACGTAGTGTTCTAGAGGGGTAATAGGGTACTATGAGCTCTTTAAGATATGAAGGGGCCTGACCATGAAGAGCTTTATAAGTGAGGAGGAGGATTTTAAATTCTATTCTACATTTTACGGGGAGCCAATGCAGAGAAGCTAGTACAGGAGAGATGTGATTTCTTTTTCTAGTTCCTGTCAGTACTCATGCTGCAGCGTTCTGAATTAATTGGAGCGTTTCAATGGACTTATTGGGGCAACCTGATAATAAAGAGTTGCAGTAATCCAGCCTTGAAGTAACAAATGCATGGATTAGTTTTTCTGCATCTGTCTGTGATAGTATGTGTCTAATTTTTGTAATATTACGTAAATGAAAGAAGGCAGTCCAAGAGGTCTGCTTTATGTGGGAGTTAAATGACAAATCCTAATCAAAGATAACTCCAAGATTCCTGACAGTGGTGCTAGAGGCCAAGGTAATGCCATCTAGAGTAACTATATCTTTAGACAGTGAGTCTCCAAGGTTTTTGGGGCCAAGAACAAGAATTTAGTTTTTTTCTGAGTTTAACATCAGAAAATTGCAGGTCATCCAGGATTTTATGTCCTTAAGACCTGTTTGTAATTTAGATAATTGATGAATTTCATCGGGCTTGGTTGATAGATATAACTGCGTATCATCTGCATAACAGTGAAAGTTAATGGAGTGATTCCTAATAATGTTGCCTAAAGGGAGCATATATAAAGTAAATAGTATTGGTCCAAGTACAGAACCTTGTGGAACTCCATGACTAACTGTAGTATTTATTGAAGATTCATCGTTAACGTGTACAAACTGCGAGCAATCTGATAAATATGACTTAAACCAGCTTAGTGCGGTTCCTTTAATGCCAATTTGATGCTCAAGTCTCTGTAAAAGAATATTATGGTCAATGGTGTCAAATGCAGCACTAAGATCTAATAATACAAGTACAGAGACAAGTCCATTGTCAGAAGCAATCAGAAGGTCATTATTAACTTTGACCAGAGCTGTCTCTGTGCTATGATGAACTCTAAATCCTGATTGAAAATCCTCAAATAAACTATTGTTATGTAGAAAGTCACACAACTCTTTGGCAACTACTTTCTCCAGAATTTTAGAGAGGAAGGGGAGGTTAGAAATCGGTCTATAGTTGCCTAAAACCCCTGGGTCAAGAGTGGGCTTTTTAAGAAGGGGTTTAATTACAGCTACTTTAAAGGACTGTGGTACATATCCTGATAATAAAGAAAGATTAATCATATCCAGTAAAGAAGTGCCAATTAAGGGAACAACTTCTTTAAGCGGCCTAGTTGGGATCGGGTCTAATAGACAGGTTGATGGCTTCGATGAAGAAATGATTGAAGTTAACTGATGAAGATCGATAGCAGAAAAACAGTCTAAATATATATCTAAGTTTACATTGACAGAAGTCCCTGAACTTGGAGAGCCACTGATAACGGTTGATGGCAGTTGGTGATTAATTTTCTCTCTAATAGTAATAATTGTATTATAGAAGAAGCTCATGAAGTCATTGCTACTTAAGTTTATGGGGATATGTGGCTCAATAGAGCTGTGACTCTCTGTCAGCCTGGCTACAGTGCTGAAGAGGAACCTAGGGTTATTCTTATTTTCTTCTATTAGTGCTGAGTAATAGGCTCCTCTGGCATTACAGAGGGCCTTTCTATAAGTTTTAAGATTATCATGCCAAATTGAGCGATATTCTGATAATTTGGAAGAGCGCCATTTCCTTTCAGATTTCCTAGCTATTTGTTTTAACTGGCGGGTTTGGTGGTTAGACCAAGGTGCTAGTCTCCTATGTTTTAATAATTTCCTTTTTATAGGAGCGACAGAATCTAATGTTGATGGTAGTGAGCCTGTAGCACTATCGACAAGATTATCAATTTCAGAGGGACTAAAGTCGTTATAGGACTCTGTTAAATTCAGACATGGCATTGAATTAAACACTGAAGGAATCTCCTCCTTAAATTTAGCTACAGCACTGTCAGATAGACATCTGCTGTAGGAAGTTTTGCCTAATGGCTTATAATCTAATAGTATGATTTCAAAAGTTATTAAATAATGGTCAGATAGGAAAGGATTATGTGGGAAGACTATTAAATGTTCAATATCAATGCCATATGATAAAACAAGGTCAAGAGTGTGATTAAAACAATGAGTTGGTTTATTTACACTCTGACAGAAGCCAATTGAGTCTATTAATGATATAAATGCGTTACTAAGGCTGTCATTGTTAACATCCACATGAATATTAAAATCACCTACAATAATTACTTTATCTGATTTAAGGACTAAACTTGATAAAAACTCTGAGAATTCAGATATAAAATCAGAGTACGGTCCAGGAGCGCGGTACACTATAACAAATAGAACTGGCTGCAGTGTTTTCCAGTTTGGGTGAGAAAGACTAAGAACAAGGCTTTCAAATGAATTATAATTTAGTTTAGGTTTAGGGTCCATTAAAACGCTCGAATCATATATGGCTGCTACTCCACCTCCTCGGCCAGTGCCTCGAGGAATGTGAGTATTAATATGACTGGGGGGGTGGATTCATTTAGGCTAACATACTCCTCGTGGGACAACCAAGTCTCAGTAAGACAAAGTAAATCAATATCATAATCTGATATTAATTAATTCACTAAAACAGCTTTAGAGGACAGAGACCTGATATTTAACAGCCCACATTTCATTCTCTTCTTTTGTGCTACTGAGGAGTTAGTTTTAATTTTTATTAGATTTTTATGTTGAACTCCTCTTGTTTTTATTTCTTTAAATAATTTAGGTGGTCGGGGGACAGACACAGTCTCTATGGGGTTTTGGGTGGGTGACTGTTCTAAAGAAAGCGCAGAGAAGTGTGTAAGACAGCAGCTCTGCTTCCTGGTCCCAAATCTGGACTGTCAGGTTTTAGAAATAAACTTCGCCATATTCCTAGATAAGAGAGCCGCTCCATCCAAAGTGGGATGGATGCCGTCTCTCCTTATCAGACCAGGTTTTCCCCAAAAAGGCTTCCAGTTATCAATGAAGCCCACACCGTTTGATGGACACTACCTCGACAGCCAGCGGTGGAATGACGACATGCGGCTATACACGTCATCACTGGTCACATTGGGTCCGACATTGTTTTAGCATAATTACACACCGACTCCACATTAATCTTAGTGACCTCCGATTGGCGTAAACGGGTGTCATTACCGCCGACGTGGATAACAATCTTACTGTATTTACGTTTACCTTTAGCCAGCAGTTTTAAATAGGATTCAATGTTGCCCGCTCTGGCCCCAGGGATACATTTAACTATGGCCGCTGGCTTCGCTAACTTCACGTTTCTGACTATGGAGCTGCGAATAACCAGAGTTGGTTCCTCAGCGGGTGTATCACTGAGTGGGGAAAATGTATTAGAAACGTGAATGGGTTGGTGGTGAACTGTGGGCTTCGGCGTTTTAGTCTTCCTTCGCTCAGTCACCCAGCCTCCCTGTCTTCCCGGCTGCTCGGGAACTACCGGGGGATCTACCGGAGGACGG